TCCATGGCCACCAGCATGGGGAAGGGGATCCAGGGCACTCCTGGGGAGCCCCCCAAAGCCTGACCCCCCCATTTCCCCCCAGGACCCCTGCAGGAACCACAAGACCTACCGGGAGGTGCTGGCCAAGATGAAGCCCCCGCTCATCCCCTTCTTGCCTCTCATCCTCAAAGGTGAGGAGGGGTCTCAGGGGCTTCCCCTGGGTGGGTTGGGGTCCCTCTGACACCCCACGGGACCCCCCCCCCCCCACACCCCATCACCCCCTCTCTCCCCCAGATCTGACCTTCCTGCATGAAGGCAGCAAAACCCTCCTGGACGGGCTGGTCAATGTGGAGAAACTGGTGGGTTCCAGGGGGGAATGGGGCACAGGAACCCCCAGGATGAGGGCAGGGGCTGGAGGACCCCCCTGAGGGGCTGGAGAACCCCCCTTCCCCGAGGGTTTGGGGTTCCCCTCTCTGGAGGGTGGGGGGATTCAGGGTGTCCTGGGTGCAGAACAGGATCCAGGGGGGTCCCTCAGGGTTGGGGGGTGTGCAAGAGGGGTCAGTGGTGCCTGGGGGGCTGGGCTGGGGTCTCGGGGGGCTGGGGCTGACTCTGGGCTCTCTCTGTGTCCCAGCACTGCATTGCTGAGAAAGTGAGAACCGTGAGGAAGTACCGGAGCCGCCCCCTCTGTGAGTGGGGGACGGGGCTGGGGGGGCCCTGCTGGGGCTGGGGGGGCCCTGCTGGGGCTGGGGGGGCACTGTTGGGGTTGAGGGGGCACTGCAGGGGATGCCCACATGGCCCTGAGCCTGTGGTGCTGGCCCTGAGGGATTGGGATGTGGCCAGAGCATCCTCACACCTCTTTGTCCATGTCTCTGCATCCCTAAATCCCTAAATTCCTTTATCCTCACCCCTTATCCCTTCACTCTGCATCCCTGAATCCCCATCCCTTCATCCTTGTCCCCACATCCCCATTCCTGTGTGGCCATTCCATCCCCATCCCTTCACCTGCATCCCCTGCATCTTTTCCATCCTTCAATCCCCACTTTCACGTTGGCATCCCCATTTCTTTCCTGCATCCTCTCCACCCCCTCCAACCCCTCCATACCCACATTCCCACCACTGTCTTGCCATGCCTGACCACTTCTATCCTTCTCCCTCCATCCCTCCATCCCTCCATCACCATTCCCACACTGACATCCCTCTATCACCATTACCACACGCCCATTCCCACACTGCCACCTCTCATCCCCATCCCTCCATCCCGGCCTCCCCTCCATCCCCATCTTCTCCATTTCCACACTGCCATTTCCCATCCCCATCCCTCCATCCCCATTCCCACATTCCCATCTCCCATCCCACCGTCCCATTCCTAAACAACCATCCCCATCCCTCCATCCCCATCCTCTCCATTCCCACACTGCCATTTCCCATCCCTCCACCACCATTCCCACACCGCCATCTCCCATCTTTCCATCCCATTCCCACACTCTCATCCCATCCCTCCATCCCCATTCCCACATTCCCATCCCATCCCTCCATCCCCATTCCCACACTCCCATCTCCCATCCCTCCATCCCTCTATCTCATTCCCACACTCCCATCCCATCCCTCCATCCCCATCCCTCCACCACATTACCACACTCCCATCCCATCTCCCATCCCTCCATCCCATTCCCACACTCCCATCCCCATCCCTCCATCCCCATCCTCCCCATCCCCACGCTGCCATCTCTCATCCCCATCCCTCCATCCTAATCCTCTCCATCACCATTCCCACTCTACCATCTCCCATCCCTCCATCTCCCATCCCTCCATCCCATTCCCACACTGCCATTTCCCATCCCCATCCCTCAATCCCATTCCCACACTCCCACCCCATCCCTCCATCCCATTCCCGCACTCCCGTCCCTCCATCCCATTCCCACACTCCCACCCTGTTCCCTCCATCCCCGTTCCCGGCTCCGGGGCCGTTCCCAGGCCTGGAGCTGGAGGCGTCCCCGGCCCAGCTGCAGACCAAGGCCTACGTGCGGCAGCTGCGCGTCATCGACAACCAGAACCTGCTCTTCGAGCTCTCCTACAAGCTGGAGCCCGGCAGCCAGTGAGGGGGGGCCCCCCCGGGACCCCCAAACCCCGGCACCCCCCCGGGGGGCCCGGAGCCCCCCAGCACTGACGCACTTTGCCCAGCCCCGGCCCTTGGGTGCTGCCCCCACCCTTGGGGGGGGTGGGGGGGTGGGTTTGGGGACCCCCTTGGCGCATCCCCCTCTCCCCCTGCCCCCTCCCCTGGCTGGGGCACAGGGGTCTCTGGGGGGGGGGAGGGGTCATGTTCCTCCCCCCCCCCCCCCCATCCCCTCTATTTTTGTATGTGTGGCCTGCCCCCCCTCCCCTCCCCCCAGACGTGTATATTTTGTACCGCCGCTGTCCGGAATTGTACATTTATTTTTTAAGAAAAAGGAGGAAAAAAAAGGCAAAAAAAAAAAAAAGAAATCAAGCTGGGGGTGGGGCGGGAAGCCCCAATAAAAGTCTGTCCCGGCACTTGTCTGTGATGTCATGAGGTCATGGTGGGAGTGACGTCACAGCCCCGATGTCGATGACGTACTGTCTCGGTGGAGCGACCTTCCCAAGATGGCGGCACAGCGGAGCCAATCTCTGACCTTCCAAACATGGCGGTCACAAAGGTTTCCGTCAGCCCTCCCAATATGGCGACTGCCGGGGTCAGCTGACCTTCTCAATATGGCGGAAGGGGCGGGGAGGGACGGGCAGTATAGCCGTGCTCTGTCGCGGCCTTCAGCAGCGTTTCGGCACAGAGCGGGGAATTTCTTCCCGGTGGTGCCGCTCTGCCTTCGGTCACCGGGACATGGCGGCGCTGGCTGCTCATGGAGCCGCCGTGACCTTCCTAATACGGCGGTGAAGGGCGCTTCCCTCATGGCCGCCCGACCTCCTCATCATGGCGGCGCTGCCCCGCCGTGCCCCGCCCACATCCGGTTGTGGCGCGCAGGCGCAGAGGGGCCAAGACCGCCATTTCGTTCGGCGGGGCTGGGGCCGGGGCCGGGAGCGGCGGGAGGAGCCGCGGGTGAGCGGGGGAGGGCCGGGGGGGGATCGGCGGGTCCGGGCCGGGGCTCGCGGGGCTCGGGGGGCCGGGACTGCGCCCGCGGGATGCCGGTGTGGGCTGTGGTGGCTGGGGGTGGGCGTGTGGGGCCTGTGCGGAGCCCGGGACCGGCGGGGCTGGGGGCGCGCTGAGGCCTGCGCGGGTCTGGGGGGTGCCCGGGCCCGGCTGAGGGCTCCCCGGGGCCGGCTATGGAGTGACAGGAGCCGGGGGGCTGGAGTTCTCACATGGACCCCCTGCACCCTCCCACCCTGCCCCCTGGGAGCTCTCCCAGCTCCCCGACTCATGGGTCACGTCAGGGACCCTTCCCCAGAACTGCCCTGGACCCCCAGATTGGGGTGTGCCCAGAACCTGCGGGTCTGGGGGCTTGTGAGCCCACCACCATGGGGACCCCCGCTCTGAGCTCAAGGTCTCCTCTGAGAGCCATCCCCAGGACCCCCATGGGCCTCCAGTGAGACCCCCGTGCTGTCCTTGACCCCTCCACCCTGACCCCTGACTTAGGTATGGGGTCCCTCCCCAGGACCCTCCTTGTGTCCCCACCCTGGTTGTGCCTGGGTCTCCTGGACTTCTCTACCCCTCCTTGGGCTCCTGTCTTTGGGTTGGCTGGAACCAGCGGGGCCAGGGGTCTGGGACCTCCACCCTGACCCCTCTGGGACTGCCCTGAGGTCCCTGCACTGACCCCTGGACCCTTTCACCCTGACCCCTGGGTCACTTAAGGGACCTTTCCCCAGGACCCCCAACCTGAGGCTCTCCAGAGCTGTCAGAAGCCTGGGACCCCCACTGACACCCTCTGAGACCCCCATATTGGTGCCCTGGACCCTTCCACCCCTCCCAGGACCCCCAGCATGGAGACTCTGACCCCAGAGTGTCCCTGGGACATGACCTCTGAGACCCCCACCATGACCCCATTGACCCCTGGGTCACCTCAGGGTGACCAAGGTCCCCTTGGAGCTGTCCAGAACAGGACCAAGGTCCAGGGACTCCCAATGTGACCCCTGTGTCTACCTGGGACCCTTGCCATGACCCTTCGGACCCCTCTATCCTTCCCTGGACCCCCTCCACGACCCCTGGGACCCTCACACTGATTCCCAGGACCCCCCTGGACCCCCTCTATGACCCCTGGGACCCCCCTGGACCCTCACCCTGTGGGTGCCCAGAACCAGAAAGGGCTGGGGGTGCACTGGGGGACACCCAGTGACAGGGGGGACCTGACAGAGAGGACCCTATTTGGGCTACAGAAGGACAGACGGACCCTTTGGAGCCTGTGGTAACTTAGGGATGACCATGGACCTAGAGTTCCATGGAATCCTGGGATGACTCGAGTTGGAAATGACCTTGAATCCCATTTTCCACTGGAAGGGGCTGTTGCAAGCCCCATCCAAGCTGGGATGTTCCAAGAAACATCCAGGGCTCCCTGCTCCCGGTGCAACGGATGGGAGGGAGGGTCCGGGTGCACCGGGAGGGATCGCACTGTGTCGGGATCACCCGGAATTCCCAGCTCCGGCTCGAAGGAACCGGGAAGTCCCCGCGTCTCCTGCCGCTTCCTCCCGCTGGAATCATTGAGCGCTTCCTGCCCAGCCCCTCGGTTCCTGCCCAGCCCCTCGTGTGCCACCTCTCCCTCCTTTCCCGGCTTCCTTTGGCCTCTTGGGCCAAGGAGGAGCGGCAGGGGAAGGCTGGCAGGACGGGCTTTTCCTGCTTTTCCTTTTTGCTGCAGCGGAATTTCGGGACGGGGTGCCTTGCTCCTGATTAAAGGTTTCCTCTGCTGAGTGACCTGAGATGGGGGCAAGGCACAGACTGAGCCGGGGGTTCTGTGGTCAGGGATGGGAAACTGAGGCTGTGGGAGGTGGGAATGGGGGAAACTGAGGCTGTAGGAAGTGGGAATGGGGAAACTGAGGCTGTGGGAAGTGGGAATGGAGGAAACTGAGGCCAAGGGGACTGTGGAGAGGAAAACGGAGGATGTGGAAGCTGTGGATGGATAGGGAAACTGAAGTTGTGGAAGCTGTGGATGGATAGGGAAACTGAGGCTGTGGAGCTCATCCCTGAGGAATTAGAAACTCCGCAGATCGAGGTTTTTTTGTTAAAAACGCCTCGTCAGAGCCCGCGGGTCGTTAATAATTCACGGGGAGCGTCTGGATCCCGCGGGGCCGGAGCGTGTCTGTCTGTCTGCACGCAGGGATGCGCCGGCTCCGCGGGATGCTCCAAATGGAGCTGGCAGCTCGGCTCGGGAAGCATGCTGATAGGATTTTAAAAGCTTGAATGACCTTAAATCCTGCGATGGCTGTCGCTCAGGATAAATTATTTATGGAGCATCCTCAGCTCCTCGGGAGCGGGCAGGAATGTCAGGCTGCGGAGGGAGGACGGCCAGGGTTGGAATTTGGGAGGGGGTAACGAGGAACTGCGGGTTTGGATGGGAAGAGAGGGAAGATAAAGGCGCGGGGGCGGGTGCTGGAGAGGTCCAGCCTTGGAAGTCGTTCCCAAACCGGTGCGGCCGCATTTCTGCACCGACATCAGAGGGTGGAAATTCCTCTTGATCTGCAGTTCAAAGCCTCCCTGAGGATGAGGCGCTGCAGCTCGGGCTTGCAAATGTGAAAGACAAATCCGCCCGGAGCCCAAATCCCCCTGAAAAGCGAGGAAATAGGCGGCTGAAGGTCACTGCTGCTGCCTGTCCTGCTCCAGCAGCAATCCCCCCGGGATGAGCGGGATGGGGCCTTTCAGCTCCCTCCACAGCAAACAGGGACTTGAAAAATGCCTGGAAAACGTGGCACGTCTCCCAGGCTGGGCCAAATCTGCCCAATCCTGCTGCTTTTAGGGGACAAGGGGCAGCTGAATGTCAAGTTCTTGGGGTTTAGGAATGTTTTGATCGCAGGGTTGGCAGGGAAGTGCTGATCCAAATCACTGCCGAGGCGTCTGTGGCCACGGTGGGCTCCAGCGTGTGGAACAGCAGCTTTCCACAGGGGGACCTCGATCTGCTGATGTCTCCCTCCTCCCAAGGGACAGCTTTTCACACCTTGTTTTCCTCCTGCTTTGGTCAGAGCTTTCCTGAGGTTTCGTTTGGATTGGAAAAGCAAAGGCACTGTGTAAACCTGCCCCTCCTGCCTCTGCCCAGCTTTTATCCACTGATGTCTCTGGATTCTGCTCTTCCCAGCCACTTTCCCTGCAAGCACAGGGAGCTGCCACACAGTTTATGGAGCCCTCAGAGGCTCTGATGTGTCTTGGTGGAAGAGTCCTGATAGGGAAGAACAAAGAAAGAGTGCAGAGAAGTCAGAGCGTTGTTCACAGGGATAACTTCTACCAGGCATGAAGGGGTGCTGGGAGGAAAACTCCCCCCTTTTTTCCTTTCCTGGAGGATTTAGCTGCTGTCTCCCTAATCTGTATCAGCTGGGTCTGTCTTCTTGCACATGAAAGATCCAGGCTGTATTTCAAAGGCACCGTTCCCAGCCGGAGCTCTCAGCTTTTCCCAGCCGTGTGTGCTGAGTTCGGGGCCTCTCGGTTTTGGTTTTTCAATGTGACCTTTGCTGTTAATCCCCAGCCCGAACGGGGCCGTGCACCGAAATGGAATGACCTGTTTCTTGGGAATTCAGCTCTAGTTTATCCTCAAGCTGCTTTAGCTTAAACTCTTCTCTCCTTTCCTCTCGCTCTTCTAGGTCAGAGCCTGGATCCGAGTGCAGGTTTTGCTTTAAGGGCACCTTAGAGGGGAGATAGTGACTCGTGATGTGTTTGTAGAAATATCCCCCTTGTCCTGCAGGTCCCTGTGGGTTGTCCCTGTGGATTGTCCCTGTGGATTGTCCCTGTGGGCTGTCTGGAGCCTGTCACAGGCTGTCAGCAGGTCACACTGAGAGACCCCAGCAGTGCTGGCCTGGCACGGGTGGCACTGGCTGGTTTGTGCCAGCTGACAAATCCCTGTTTGTCTGTCTGTGAGATGAGTTGCTGTCACAGGGGCCACCGAGGGAAGTGTCACCCTGCTGGCACAGCAGCAGAGCTGGGACACAACGCGTGACGTTCCCGTGGGTCGGAAGGCGCTGGCCCTGGCATCGCTCCTGTGCTGGCTCAGGGCTGTGACACACGAGCCCCAGTCAGGAGTCTCCTTACCTGGCGTGTTCCTCAGCTGGATCCCTGCTAATTCCCTCCAGCAGCTGATCCAGCACGGCAGGGCTCTGCCCGGAGCCACTCGTGCCACCCTGGCCCTGTGATCCCACCGCGGGTGGGAAGGAGCACAGGGAAAATGCTCCTGTTCCAACACGTCCCAGACGAGCACGTTCAGAGCCGTCTGTGATCCTGCTCCAGTGGGAAAGGCTGAGGCTGGATGGGTTTGCTGGGTGTTGTTCCTGACTGGAGTGTCCAGAGGGGTTGATGGATGTTGGATCTTGGGTGGGAGGCCTCGAACTCGGGCTGGGGAGAAGGAGCAGCACGTTGTGAGGAGCTGGATGCTCAGGGACTTGGAAAATGCCATAAGATAGAGGGAAGAATGTCTTCCTGATGAAGCTGTAGCTGAGGACTTCTCACAGGGCAGAAGAGCTGATTTTGATTAAAAAGCAGTTTGGGTATTTATTTATTTCCCTGAACCCCAGAGGCAGTGGTTTGCCCGAGGGCAGGGGAGCTGCTGCTGTTGCTCCCTGCTTCCCAGTTCTCACACCCTGGAAATGTCTGCCAGAGGATGGACCTGTGTCCTGTGGGATTAGGAAGTTGTAGTTTATCTAGCAGGAGATGAGTGGGAGAAGGGATCTGGTTGTTAATACCTGGTGCAAACCTGAGTCATAAAGGAACTTTCCCTGCGGTGGGGGCTGTTCCCACTGTGCCCTCTGTCACCTGCCCTGGAGGTCAGGGCTCAGAAATGGGAAGTTTCAGGTGTGAATCTGCCCTGTCCATTCCTCCTGTTGGTGGTGTGCTTCCCGTTAGTGGCTGTGGAATTGGTTTTCCTGTGGGAAGGACATCTGTGGCCCAGAGAGGGACATTTGTCCCCTGCCTCAGGGTCTGCCCTGAGCTGCTGGGACTCTCCATGTGGTGAGCAAGGCCTGCAGTCACCACATTCCTATTCCCTGAGCCGGTGCTATGGGAGGCCCTACCTGAGCACTGCTGTCAGTGGCACGAGGGCCTGTGACTTCCCAGTGATTCAGGCTCCCCTTCCTGTCCCCAGTCCCTCTGTGTTCTGTCTGCAGTGCCGACCGGAGCTGCCGGGCCCGCGGAGCCCCGCGAGCTGTTCCAGGTGAGCCGTGGTGCCAGACAGGTTTGTTCTGGCCTTCTGAGGAGCCGGGGCATTGCCAGATCTGTGCTGGGAAAGCTGGTTTCTGCTTGGACAGCTTTGAGGGGGTTTGGAGTTGTGGCGTGCAGAGAGCCTTCAGTGCTGGGGGGGTCATTGATATAGGAGACAAGAGGTCGGGAAATACAGGGATGGGAGGGAGCCACAGGACAGCCCTGTGCTGCTTCCTGCTGCTCTGGAGCTGGAGCCATCTGGCAGATTTGCCCTGGCCATGGCTGGAGAGGCCATGGGGCCACGTGCCAGTGCTGGGGGGCTGCTGTCACCCTCCCAGGTGAGCAGAGCCCCTGGCTGCAGCTGGAGGAGCTGATGGATGGTGCAGGATCCGCTTGGCCAGGTTTTATCTGCCAGGGGAGGTGGTTGTGTGAGACACGTCCTGGGTTCTGACTGCAGGGAGCCCTGGGGATTTGGGGTGGGGATGTGCTGGGGATTTGGGGTGGGGATGTGCTGGCTCCCACCTCTGGCACCTGCTGCTCCAAGGTGTTGGGACAGCCTGGGAGGGCAGCTCCATCTGCTGCTCTGCACAGTTCCCCGGGGCTGTGCTTCACCTCCAGCTTTCCCTGATTGTTTCCTCCCTTCCTGCAGGCATGAGTGCCCAGGCCTGCCCCCAGCACTGAGACCCGGAGCCGCCAGGATGCCGATCCCTCCTCCCCCGCCGCCGCCCCCCGGCCCCCCGCCGCCCCCCACCCTCAGCCAGGTAGGGGTCACCTGTCCCCATAGAGGCCACTTCCCTCTGGAGAGGGCTGACTGTGGCAGAGCTGGGGTGCTCTGGGAGGTGGGGATGCTGGGGGGGAATCCTGGGGAGGTGCTGAGCCGCTGCTCCTCCCCAGGCGAACACGGAGCCGCCGAAGCTGAGCCGAGAGGAGCAGCGGGGCCGCGGGGCCCTCCTGCAGGACATCTGTAAAGGGACCAAGCTCAGGAAAGTGACCCAAATCAATGACAGGAGCGCGCCCATCTTGGAAAGTGAGTCCCCAGGAGGCTCCCGGCCCCACGCTGGGTGCTGCCATACCCTGCAGGGCGCTTGCCCATCTGGTTCCCAGCAGCTCCTCATTGGAGGAGCGGATAATTCCAGGCTTAACCTCTTTGCCTCCCTCCTTTCAGAGCCCAAGGGCAGCGGCGGCGGCAGCTACGGCTCCGGCTCAGCTGCCATCCAGCCCAAGGGCGGCCTCTTCCAAGGCGGCGTCCCCAAGCTCAGACCTGTGGGAGCCAAGGACAGCTCAGGTAATGGCCACCGGCCCGTGGTCTGCGTGGGGGTCCCTGGGGAGGGCCCTGAGCAGGAAGGGGTTGAGGATCTTACTGTGTATCCCTGGGGATTTTAGCGGTTAAGAGGCAGGACCCCAAATCACATCCCAGCTATGCCCTCCCTGAGCCTCAGCCCCACACACAGACTTCTTGGAGGGTGCAGGAGTTTCGTGTATTGCTGAACTCTGTGTGTTCTCTGTGGTGGCCACAGAGCAGAGTGGTGAGAGAGGAGCCGTGTGTGGCTGTGCTCGGTGCCAGCTCCTTGTGTGTGCCAAAAAACCGTTCCTTGCCCTCCTTGGCCGTGGCTCTGTGCAGGGACAGGGCACTGCTCCCGTGCCATCCCCAACCCCTCACCGTGCTCTCCTTCCCCGCAGACAGCTCCACTAAACAAACACTACAAGTCCCTGGCTCCCGAGCAGCCGCTCCCAGGCCCCCCGTGCCGGCCAACAACAGCCGCCCTCAGGACGATGCCGACAGCAGCCGGGGCTCCCCGCCGGAACTGCCGCGCACGCAGAGACCCTCCCTGCCTGACCTGTCGCGGCCCGGCGCCGCCGGTGGCACCGGCATGAAGCACAGCTCCTCGGCCCCGCCGCCCCCGCCGCCGGGACGCCGCGCCGCCGCCCCCCCGGCCCCCCCTGCGGCGCACGCCAAGGCCTCGCCCTACAACCGGGAGAAGCCGCTGCCGCCCACCCCGGGACAGCGCCCGCCCGGCAGCCGGGACGGGCCCCCCGCCCCGCCGCCCATCAAACCCCCCCCTTCCCCCGTCAGCCTCCGCTCGGGCGCTCAGGGCCAGTCCCTCGCCCCCCCGCCGCCCCCATACCGGCAGCCCCCCGGTGTCCCCAACGGCCCCTCCAGCCCCAGCAGCGAGTCGGCCCCGGAGCTGCCGCAGAGACACAACTCCTTGCACAGGAAGGCACCGGGCCCCTTGCGGGGTCTGGCGCCGCCGCCGCCCGCTGCTGCCTCCCCGAACCTGCAGAGCAGCCGCCCCCCGCCGCCGGCCAGGGACCCCCCGAGCCGTGGAGCAGGTAAGGGCCACTCACCCCACGGTGCCTGGGGCAGCTGGGGTGATCAGGGTGGCAAGAGTTGGCTTCTGGGCACAGGGAGTGTTCTGCATGTGGTGATGGGCTGAGCTGGGGCACTGAGCAGTGCCATGTTTAACACATGTCCTTGCTCATGTCCCGTGACCATCCAGCTCCTTCCAAGCCTGGTGCTGGCGGTGGGTTGTGGCTGGGCAACTCCTGCCCATACTCTGCTGGGGTGGGAGATGAGAATGCGGGAGAGCATAGCTCCCCTGAGCTTCCTAAATGTCGCTGGGAGGGTGCACAGAGCAGAGCAGGGAGAAGCCCTTGGGAGTGTGTCCCCGTGGCTGGGACTGCTGTTGGCCGTGCCCCGGTGCCCCCCCGTGCACTCCTGGGCTCCCTGTCCAGACCGCAGCTCCTGCCTGGGCCCCTGCCAAGCCACTCCGTCCTTCTGGCCCTGCCAGAATCCCTCCTCAGAGCTACAGCTGGGGATCTGCGCTGTCAGCCCGAGTGTAATTAGGCTAATGAGGAGCACGAACTGCCACGGAGCCTCTTCGGGAGGCTGGGCAGGAGTGAGAGGTGGGTCAGAGGGGCTGTGGGTCCTGTCACTGCCTCGGTGACACTGCAGATGTGGCTTCCAGTGCTGGCAGGCAGCATCTTGGCTCCATGTGGAGCTGCTGCCCTTGGACTCTCTGGATTGTAGCTGCTCCTCTGGTGCAGAGGGACCTGTGCTCACTGTGGGGCTGGACGGTGAGCCGTGGGGCAGCAGGGCTGGCTGGTCCCTGCACCGCAGCTGGTGGAGGGATGAGGAATGCAGATGTCAGGAGCGAGCAGGAAATCTCCGGGCACGCGTAGGAGCATCCCCGGGCCGCGGTCTGGCGCGGCAGCTGGCCTGGAACGCTCCGGGGGATGTCCCTGGCTTTGCCCCGGGAATGCCGCGCTCGGCGCTGACCCCGCTGTCCCCGCAGCTCCGCCGCCCCCGCTGCCGATGCTGCGGAACGGGGGGCGCGACGCCCCCCCGCCCCCACCCCCCTACAGACTGCACGGCCCCGCCGAGCCCCCCAGCCGGGGGAAGCCCCCGCCGCCACCCACCCGCACCCCGGCCGGGCCCCCGCCGCCGCCGCCGCCCGTGCGCAACGGGCACCGCGACTCCATCTCCACCGTCAGAGCGTTCCTGGGTGAGTGAGTGGCGCCCCGCACGGATCCCCCTCAGGGCCGAGCCCGGTGGCTTTGGCCAGGCTCCCCCAGAGCCCCCCTCCCTCACCTGCCCCTTTTTGCCGTTTCTTCACAGATGACTTTGAATCCAAATACTCCTTTCATCCCGTTGAAGACTTCCCAGCCCCAGAGGAATATAAATACTTCCAGAGAATCTACCCCAGCAAAACAAACAGAGGTGAGGAGGAGGTGTGCCAAATTCCCTCTTGTGCCCTCATGGCTGGCACTGTCCTGTTCGTCCCTGCACGGGGTGGGTGATGCAGTGACCATGCCCTGGGCCCTGCTGGGGTTCTGGGGGTGCTGATCCCCATTCCCAGGGGTCCTGAGCCCCATTCCCAGGGGTCCTGATCACCATTCCCAGGGGTCCCAAGCTGTGCAAGTGGGTGGTGGGTGGTGCAGTGGCCATGCCCTGGACCCTGCTGGGGTTCTGGGGGTCCTGATCCCCATTCCCAGGGGTCCTGAGCCTCATTCGTAGGGGTCCTTAAAGGCAGCTCTCTGTGCTGTGGGGCAGGGCAGAAATTTGGGCTGTGAGGATGCCCTATCCTACCTCTCCTGGGCTGCCTGCAGAGCTCATTCCTGCCTTTACTGAGCACCTTTGGCACCAGAGGAGATCTCAAAGGACCCCACAGCCAGGGCAGGGCTGGGCAGGGGCTGGGCAGGATGCAGACCCTCAGGATAAACCCCAAGCACTGGCACTCGGACCCAGCAGAGCTCAAAGTGCCCTTGGTGCTGCACGTCAGCGCTGCGGATCCCGGCGGAGACTCCGGGGAGAATGGGATGCTCGTTTATTTTTAGAGCTATGAATGTTTAATGCGGGTTTGAAAAGCCCCGAGCTCGGTGCGGCTGCAGCGGCTGCTGCCAGGCGCAAATCCCAGGCTCCAGATCTCCGCGGGGAGGTCGGGGGGGGGGGGGCCGGCAGCTGGCGCGGGGGTGTGGAGGAGGAGGAGGAGGGAGGGAGGAAGAGCGGCTCTGCACAGCTCCAACAGGCTTCCTTGTCTTGCAGCCACTCGTGGGGCTCCCCCTCTGCCCCCCATCCCCAGGTGAAAGCGGGCTGTGCGGGTGGATTGTTCCAGAGCAGAGACGTGGAGCTCCTTCCCCTTCCTCAGCCGGCCCCCCCCCAGCTCTCCCAGCGCCCCGGATCCTGCATGACACACTCCCAGCCTCTCTGGTTCTCCCAGGACACCAGATGCCCCCAGCGCAGCGTGCTCCGCCAGCCTCACCTCATCTATGCACCCCCCAGGAGCCGGCGACCTTGTGGCAAGCCTGGATGGGGCCATCCCTCATTGCTCCTCATGGATCTGCCTGGGAGCCGGGCACAGGACTTGAGGCCGAGCTGTGTGCTGGCTGTTGGGACCAGGGGGGTCATGGAGGGGTGGCTGGGGTCAGGCAGGGGATGGACACGCTGTGACACCCCCCAGAGTGAGGGGGAGCAGGACAGGCCGGCAGAGCCTCGTGATCCTGGTGTGGAACCTTGTTATCCCGGCACAGCCCATTGCTTTTTTGCACAGGAGCCAGTGGAGGCAGGGGGGAACATGAGTGGGACCATGCAGGGACACCCCAAGAGCTGGTGGGGACCCCCTTTCTCTGACCCCACAGGGGGGCACACCCCCATGTGCCCCCCTCAAAACCACTGCTCCCCTGGCTCTCACTGCTGACTCCCCCCAAACTTGAGCATTTTAACGAGGAAACACTAATTACATGGGGAGGGGGCCGTCGGTGCTGGGTCTGGCACACCAGGGGGCACGTGGGGGGGCCCTGGGGGCCGGGGATGTTTTGCCTTACACTCCCTGTCCCACGGGGGGGTCACACTAACGTAGTTACTGATCTCTTTGTACCATAGCAGGAAGGGCATGGGGTGCAGGGGGGGCCACCCCTGCAGGCGGGTTTGGGCTCATCCAGGGGATTTTTATTTTTTTTTTTCTATGATGATGGACCTTCCCCTGTTGAGGCTGGAGCGAGGTGGGTGAGGGGTGAGTGGGGGGTTTCTCTGGTGAATGAGCCCCCCCCCCCAGTGCTGCCCTTTGGGTTAAATAAAGGTTCAATACGGTTCTGCCCCTCCTGGAGCGAGGGGCCCTTTTAAAAGGGAACAGGAATTTGAAGGAGCTGGAAATTACATTTAAATAAAAGTAATAAAGTGATTAATGATGTCAAGGACGCTGTCTAAAGGGGACGTTCCCAGGAACCCCTTTTCTTTTTTGGAGGTGATGCCACAAGGGCTGGGAGCAGGGCACTTTGGCAGACAGGGTGGAGGGTACTGGGAGCACAGCAGGAAGGCAGGATGGGGGTTTCTGGTGGCACTGGGACCACTGGGAAGGAGGATTGTGGGTACTGGGAGCAGGGGGAGGGGGGATTGGCGCGTGTGGGCACTGGGAGCAATGGGAGAAGCGCTGTGGGGAATACTGGGAGGAAGGGTGGGGAGTACTGGGAGCGTGGAGAGACAAGACTGGGCGGCAGTAGAAAAGCAATGTAGGAGGAACTGGTGGCACTGGGAGTACGGGGAAGGCTGAGTCGGGGGGTGCGGGCCGTGGGAGCACTGGGGGAACTGGGAGCGCGGGGTGCCCGCAGGCGGACTACAGCTCCCAGCATGCCCCGCGCGCCGCGCTCGGCTCCTTCCGCCCTACCTCGGCTGCGCTCCCTGATTGGCCGCTCTGTTGCGGCCCTTCCTCCGGCCGCGGCGATTGGCGGCGGCGGCAGCGGCGCAGCCAATGGGGTGAAGGGGGCGGGGTCAGCTCGGCCTGGTGGCGGGAAGTGCGGAGCCGGGGCTGATTTGGCGCGAGAAGGTCGGGGCGGCAGCGGCGCGGGCCTTGGGGGGACATGGAGGGGGCTTGGGGGGACCCAAGGGGGTTTGGGGGGACATGGGAGCCATAAATGGGGGGCAGCGCGGTGGGGACCGGGACTCGAGGGGCAGGGGGTGGCCGGGACCCGCGGGGCTGGCGATCTTTCTCACCTGGCCGCTGTTTTCTCCTCCAGCCGTAGCCCCGCCATGGCCAGCAGCAGCCCGCAGAGCCAGCCCACCATCAGCTTCCCCCGCACGAGGAGCGCCCGACGCCTCGCTGCCCCCTCGGCCAAGAGCGACCCCGACGCTCCTGCTCTGCGCCCCTCGCCGCGTTCCAAGGCCTCGGGCTGCTCCGGCCAGGCCAGCCCGGACACACGCTCAGGCCGGGCCACAGCGCAGTCCCTGAGCCCCAAAACGCAGCCCCTGAGCCCCCGCAAACGCCTGGGTGAGTCCCTCCACCGGCATCCCCAGAAATGGCGGGGCGTGCATCCCCCTTCTCATCCCGGGGCGCTGGGACAGACGGACGGACCCAGCCTCATCCAGCTCTGGCCCAGCTGTGTTTGCAGCTTCACCCCCATTTCGGGAGGAAGAGCTGCTCCCCCGGGGTTTTGGGGGGGCTAAAGGATAAACTCCCCCAGGGAGAGCGGCCCTGTGTCACCACCAGCCTGTTGTCCCCACAGGTGATGACAACCTGTGCAATGTCCCCCATGCCTTATCTTGCTCCCCGGCCAAACGCAGCAAGGAGAACCAGGGCCGCCGCCTGCTCTTTGGGGACCCCTCGGCCTCCCCCGAGCAGCCCAAGGGCTCGGGGCCATCCCCACGGAGAGGGGGGCCAGAGACGCCCCGGAGCTCGGGGCAGCACCCACGGACCCGGCTCTTCAGGCAGGAAGGTGGGAATGGGGTGAGGGGTGTGGGCGGGGCTGGGTGTGGGGTTATGGATGAGGTGGGGATGCAGGAAAGTGGATATGGGGTTGTGGGTGTGGGCAGGGCTGGGTGTGCGGTTATGGATGGGATGGGGGTGCAGGAAGATGGCTATGGGGTTATGGATGGGATGGGGATGCCGGGCTGGCTATGGGGTTATGGATGGGATTGTGAGTGTGGGCAGGGCTGGGTATGGGGTGATGGATAGGATGGGGATGCAGTAATGTGGGTACAGGGTTATGGATGGGATTGTGAGCATGAGCATGGCTGGGTATGGGATTATGGATGGGATAGGGATGCAGGGATGGGATAGGGATTGGTAATATGGATTGGGATGGTGATAGGGGCCAAGTTGAGGGTGTGGAGCAAAGGATGGGGTTGGGAATACGAGGATAGGCATGGATATATGGAGCTAGGGATAGATATGAAGGCAGGGATGAGGATGGGGATGCTGACCAGCTGGGATGGGCTCCCAGCAGTGCCACCTCCCCCCCTGATCCCCCTGCTCCCCGTGCAGGTAGCTGCTACCAGCAGGCCAAGCAGGTGCTGCACGCGGCCGTGCCTGAGCGGCTGCAGGGCAGGGAGAAGGAGACGGGGCAGCTGCGGCAGTTCCTGCTGGAACACGTCCTGGGGCGCCGGCCCGGCAGCCTCTACGTGTCCGGAGCCCCTGGCACTGGCAAAACTGCCTGTCTGAGCCGTGTCCTGCTCGACTGCAAGGTGTGTGCCATGCCAGGCTGTGGGGCAGCTCTGGGGCAGTGGGATGGGGCTGGTGTAATGTTCCCATTCCTGGCAGGACAAGCTGGCTGGCAGCAGGACTGTGGTGCTGAACTGCATGGCGCTGGGCAGCCCCCAGAGCATCTTCCCTGCCCTGGCACAGCAGCTGGGGCTGCCCGTGGCCACGGGACGGGAGCGGATCAGGAGCCTGGAGAAGCATCTGACGGCCCAGGGGCCCATGGTGTGAGTTCCCTGTCTCTGCTGGGTGGGGTGGGATTCCCCTGGGTGCAGCAGCTCTGCCCTCCCTGCTTGGGGTGCTGTGAGGGGACAGAGCAGGCGTTGATCTGGGCTCTCCCACAGCCTCCTGGTGCTGGATGAGCTGGACCAGCTGGAGAGCAAAGGCCAGGACGTGCTCTACACCCTCTTTGAGTGGCCCCAGCTGCCCAGCTCCAGGCTCGTCCTCGTGGGTGAGTGTGCAGGATATGTGGGAGGGTGCACTGCTCTCCTGGGCACCCTCTCTCTTTAGGAGGGGTTGATGGAGACTTCCCTCCTGCTCCCTCCTTGGAGAACAGCCCTCATCCTCCTCTTCCTCTCGCTCTGCAGGGTTGGCCAATGCCCTGGACCTGACAGACAGGAGCCTGGCCAGGCTGGGAGCCCACCTGTCTGCCAAACCCCGGCTGCTGCACTTCCCCCCCTACACCAAGGAGCAGCTCACCCTCATCCTGCAGGAGAGGCTGGGACAGGTGGGGACACGGGGAGGACAGAGTGGGGGGGGGCATGAGGTGCTCTGCCCACATGGGTGGCAGCACTGACGGCCCTGGTGCCCCACAGGTGGCAGGTGACCCCGTCCTGGACTCTGCTGCGCTCCAGTTCTGTGCCCGCAAGGTCTCTGCAGTCTCCGGTGATGCTCGCAAGGCCCTGGATGTCTGTAGGTCAGTGTGTGTGCCCCAAAACCCAGCCAGACTGGTCCCTGGGAGTCTCCATGGTGCCCATGCCAGGGGTGCCCATGCCTGGCACTCAGGGCTGTCCCTCCCCAGGCGCGCTGTGGAGGTTGTGGAGCTGGAGGTGCGAGGCCAGACCCTGCTCAAGCCACTGCCCAAGGGTGAGTCAGAGCCAAAACCCTGCTGGGGCTCCTCAATGAGAGTCTGGCCTCCCTTTGTGAACCTCTCTCTCCCTGTTCTCACCTGCCTGGGATCCTCTGTGTGTCCCACAGGTGACTCCCCGGTGTCCCCTGTCCCCAAGCGCGTGGGGCTCCTGCACATCTCCCGCGTGCTCTCGGAGGTGTTTGGGGACCGCCTGGCAGGGGGGTCCCGGGGGGCCCAGGACACCTTTCCCCTGCAGCAGAAGGTGCTGCTCTGCTCCCTGCTCCTGCTTGCCCGGCGCTCCCACGCCCGGGAGGTGACCCTGGGGAAGGTGAGTGGCATTGGGACCCTCTCAGGGCAGTGGAGGGGTGTCCCTCGGGGGTTTTGCTGTGGTGTAACCCCCTCTCCCTGCCCTCCCCAGCTCCACGACACCTACAGCCAGGTGTGCCGGCGGCAGCAGCTCCCGGCCGTGGACCAGGCCGAGTGTCTGTCCCTTGTCACCCTCCTGGAGTCCCGCGGGGTCCTCGAGCTCAAGAGAGCCAAGGAGTCTCGGCTGGCCAAGGTACCGTGGGGTGCTGGGGCAGGGACAGCGCTGGGATGTGATCCTGTGGTGGGGCAGGGCAGGATCTCAGTGCTGAGCACCCCTGATCTCCCTCCCAGGTCTGGTGACAGCACTGGGACACAATCCAGTGGTGGGGCAGGGCAGGATCTCAGTTCTAAGCACCCCTGATCTCCCTCCCAGGGGTAGGGACCGTGCTGGGACACAATCCAGTGGTGGGAGTGGGACAGGATCTCAGTGCTGAGCACCCCTGTTCTCCCTCTCAGGGTTTGGTGGCAGTGCTGGGACACGATCCAGTGGTGGGGCAGGGCAGGATCTCAGTGCTGAGCACCCCTGTTCCCCCTCCCACAGTCTGGTGGCAGTGCTGGGTCATGATCCAGTGCTAGTAGTGGGCCAGAATCTCGGTGCTGAGCACCCCTGTTCTCCCTCCCAGGATCTGGTGACAGCACTGGGACACAATGCAGTGGTGGGGCAGGGCAGGATCTCAGTGCTGAGCACTCCTATTCTCCCTCCCAGGTTTCCCTGATGCTGGAGGAGGCAGCTCTGGAGCACAGGCTGCAGGACACGGCGCTGGTGGGCAGCATCCTCACCCAGGGGCTGCATTGACCCCCCCAGCAACCCCCTCCCCGTGGCCCCAAGGGGGATTTTGCTGCTGTGGCAAGAGCCAACAAGTGGCTCCCAAGGTTTTGGACATTTGTCAAGTTCTGCCCTGGGGGCTGTCAGTCTGGGGTCTTTTTATTAATATTTTAATGTAATAATAATATTATTAATGTTTTATTGTAATTGCTGCGTGATGGGAGCTTAGGT